AAGCCTTATTGGCTCCCCTGAACTTCCTTGCCTTATACATTGATAGTTTGTAAATACAGATTCATAAACGGCAAATTATAATTAAAAAATTGAAAAATAATTACCTCAATCATTTCAGTAATAAAAGACACATCTGTGCCCTTAGGTAGCCTTGTGGCAGTAAGCATGGCATATGCTGCCCTGAAAAGAGTATAATATAGAAAATAAAAAATGTTTTAACATTTAATTTAATTCTAACTTTCCAATGTGCATGTAAGTAAGGTGAAGTCTGTATACAAGCCAAGTAGCCCATCAGGCTGGCACGCATCCACAGTTTCTCTGTAGCAGGGAGTGACTAGGAGTATTTCTACTCCCGCCTGGAAGGGATCCTAGTCCATCACAGGGCTACCTCCAGCATTAAATTCGCGGGTACCCATCTATACTCCTGGGTGGAGAGAGGCACTGTGAGAGTTAAGTGTCTTGCCCAAGAACACAAGCAATGGCCCCGGCCAGCTAGGGCTCAGACACAGACCAACCGGTAGAATCTAGGAAGATGATTGTGTGGATAAAGGGGTGGGGGTAGAGTTGGGAGGGGAAGAGAGGGCAGTTAGAAAATTACCCAGATATGATGAATGATGAATATTCTCCTTACCCAAGGATACTGTCTTCATCTGAGTTGATGGCTGCCTTCACCGCCTTGAGCACTTCACCAGTATCAACTGCAGCAAGGAAAAAATTCCAGCAGAATTACAATCATGGCAGTCTACAATATTGGGGACCTACAGATCAAAATTAATTATGGGTAAGAGTACATGAACAAGTGTGACTTCCTGCTTTAAAACTAATCTGGTTCCTTTTGCATCACGTCTCCCTGGCATCTACCAGTGGAAGCAATATTTCAAACCTTCTGTAAGTCTTAAAATACATTTTATTTAAAAATTAAAGTAATATTAGCACTGAGATTTTGTTGCAGAAAACAATTAAAACATGAGTTGCACTTCTCTTACCCACCACTTGGAGCCATGGTAAGCCGACAGCAGCAACAAGAACAAAAAGACTATGGCACAGCAATAAGACCAAAAGTCTGCTTTGCATATCAGATGACCTTTATTAGTCCCAGAGCCCAATTAATGGTGCCTGAGAAAAACATTTTCCACTTATTTTGTTTTACTTAGCCAATGGAATTAACACAGGGGTTCTATTTATGTTATCAGAAGGAGGGCAACTGGTTTTCACAGATGGACAAACGTTTTAAAACTGAACTTCTTTACGAAGACAGTCAAACCAGGTGGGCAAAATCGTTCTCACAGCCGATCAATTTGCCTGGGGCAAAGCCCTTAATAAAACCCCTGATAACACTTCTCTCACCTTTGAGTCCTAAAAAATTTTGTGCTGCAACAGCATAAAACAAGGTAGTCATTTCTGACCCTTCTTTTACAGCCTCTGATAATGTGACTTCAGCACCTTTGATAGCTGGTAACTAAAAGGAAAGTTAAGGAGATAAATGTATGTTAAATCCCAGCTACAAATACCAAAAATGTATAGAATGCTGAAAAGTACACAAAAGTGAACAAACTCTGTGCAACACTTTGCTTTCTAATTCTTACGTCATGACGTGATAAAGAAATGCAGCCCTTAGTCTGATTTCACTTGATAATGAATCACAATCAATATCTAGTTACAAGTAGTTATCAATCAAAGCTATCTGTCAATCAGTATCAGTTAATGTCCCACAAATGACATATTGTATTCATTCCATGTTACCTGTGGCTGACAGGAATGGACAAAAATTAACTCACTTAGTAATACACACCTTACAATTTCCTAAATATTTACTGATGGCTGATGCATAGAAGAGTGACATTACACTGCTTCCATCAACATTATCCTTCGCAAACTTGCAAACATCCTGTTGAAATTTAACAGAAGGAATAAAAATATTTAAACCACAGTTACTAAACAAGAATGTGAACTAACACTTAAAAGCAACTTTTTGGTTATCTGGTTATTGGTCATTATGATGATACTAAATTCCACATGTCATCTCATGTTTAGTCAAGAAATCTCAAATAGCTGAGAGAAATCTC